CACAGCTCAAAGGCATCAATTCTTCTTCTATCCTCCCTACTCATTGTCCAACTCTCTGATGCATAACAAGTGATAGCAAAGACCATGGCCTGTATCAGACGCACCTTAGTCTCCAGAGAGACACCATTGCTCTTCAGTACTTTGGAGAGGTCCCTAACAGCAGACTTTCCCATGGCAATACATTTTTTAATTTCCTGGCTACTGGTGCCAAAGACACTAAAAGATGTTTCTAAGATCTCTTATCGCAATCAAAATAGGAGTCAGGAGCTATGATTTGCTGTTTTGCTAGTAAGAACCCGAGTGACTTCGATCTCAAGTCTATTAAAAAACCTAAAGTTCCAACTCATAGCAACCCTACAGAGCAAAGCGGAACTACCCCACTGCGTTTCCAAGGCTGTAATCTTTACAGAAGTAGATTGTTAAATCTTTTTTCCCAGGGATTAGCTAGTGACTGAGAATCACCAACCTTTCCGTTGGGAGCCAAGCGCTTTAACCACTGCACTAGCAAACTAGTATTAATAATCCTGCTAGATAGTAGAACTCTATTACAGTAAAAAAAAAAATTCCTTTTTTTAACTGCATCAGAGACACAAACAAGTTTTGGGTTTCCCACTCTTTTCCTCTCCCGACTCCGCCCCTTTCTCATCTGGTCCTATCATCTCATCGCTTACCCTCTCTGCCCCGCCTCCCCATCTTAAACCCGCCCCCTCGTCAACAAAACCCACCAAGCAAGACGGTAGCTGAGGTGGGGAAGTGGACGCTGGGGGCGCTGCGGCGTCAGGGTCAGTCTCCTGGTCGGCTATGGCGAGGGAGGACGTGGATTTCAGGCTTCCGGTAGACCGGAAAAATCTGCTCAAAATCGCCTGCCTTGCCGGAGTTGGACCGGCGCTAGCAGTGCTGTGTGTGGCTGGTTTCCGGCGCTTCATTGCAGTGATGGAAGACCAGGCCACAAACCCAGGAGAGCCGGGAGCGCGAGCGCGCGTCCAATGCTCCTAAGAGTCTGCGGGCGCGAGCACGTTGCGACCCTGCCGTGCGAGAGGCGCGGCTGTGGGCGGGGCTTCGCCTTTGCAAATGGGACCAAGGGGGCGGGGTGACCTTAACTTCGCGCCAAACTTCACCGGAAATTCAGATTTCGCCAGCTAGCTCGGAAGAGTTGACTGTTGCAGTCATGGTTCGCCCGCTAAATTGTATTGTTGCTGTGTCCCAGAACATGGGCATTGGCAAGAACGGAGACCTACCCTGGCCCCCACTCAGGTACCTGCCGGGCCTTGGGAACCGAAGCTGGTGGCGGCTGATCAGGGCACCCTGGTGGGGAAGCACCGGCCACCTGGCCACTGGAGGATGGGGAGAAGATCGGACTTTTACCCTTAGCCAACCGGAAGCCTTGAGGTGTCCAAAGGTTGCGTTGTTGGTTTCCATCCTGATCATGCTTCACCAGGGCCTTTCCCCGAGGCGCCCTGGCGCGAAGACTCGCACCCCGGCGCACTGTGCGCGCTATGCTGTTTAACCCCAAGCACAATGTTCTGAGTAATGTTGCTTTGTGTTTCTCTGACTTATAGGAATGAGTTCAAGTATTTCCAGAGAATGACCATGACCACAACCTCCTCAGTAGAAGGTAACATGGGTTGTTTTAACTGAAGTTCACTAGCTTCTTCCTTAAAAAAAGCTTCCCCGTGCAAATGTTTTTAAATAGACATTCTCCAGGTTAATCTGGGACCAGTTATCAACCCCGCAGGTAATGGTGTATTTTGCCACTAGGACTCTTTTCCACTCTGTATTAGTGAATAGTATTTGTAATTTCCTTCTCTGACAGATTTCTGCCTTTCAGAGATCCTAGCCTTTACAAGTGTATGTGTTTCGTGCACATACACACTTACGTTTACACACACAAGCTCTGATAGACTATTCTGTGGGGAGTTGCATTGCTAAACCAAAGGTGTGCCTCTTGTTGTTTGTTGTTATGTGCCATCGAGTAGCGACCCTATGTACAACAGCCCTAAACCGTGCTCTATCCTGTGCCAATCTCATTGCCTCTGACACACCCATCCCGATTACCCCAGTCACAGAATCAATCCACCTCTTAGAGGGTCTTCCCCTCCTGTACTGTCCCTCTAAACTACCCAGTATGATGTCTCTAAAGACCTGTCTCTCCTTACAACATGTCCAGAGTATGTCAGGCGAAGCCCCAGAATCCTTGCCTCCAAGGAGCAGCCTGGTTTAACCCTCTCTAGGATGAATCTGTTTATTTTCTTGGCAGTCCATGGTACATTCAATACTCTTCTCCAGCACCACAGATTAAAGGCGTCAATTCTCCTTCTATCCTCCCTAGTCATTGTCCAACTCTCTGATGCATAACAATTAGGTGGTTGTAATCCAGCTATTCCACTGGTGAAAGATGGTGGTTCCCTTCTCGTGGCATTTACAGCCTTAGAAACCCATTGGAGGGTCAGCTATGAGCCAGTTCTGACTCAGTTGTAATGAATGAGTAATATGTATGTGTGTATACATATGTATTATATATTTTTTCCTAAAAAATATATACAGTACACATATATGTATTATATACTTTTCCAAAAAAAAAAATATATTCTTTCTATTGATTTTACAGGGAAACAGAATTTGGTGATCATGGGTAGGAAGACCTGGTTCTCCATCCCTGAGAAGAATAGACCTTTGAAAGATAGGATTAATATAGTCCTCAGTAGAGAACTCAAGTAAGTACCATAATATAATGATATTACAATAATCAATGTCTGACAGGATGAACTAGGTGAAAAGTAGTTATTGCTGAAGTTCTTTCATATCAAGAGGCAATAAAAGATATTAATAAGGAATCATTTATACCACATAATAATAACTTACTCCAGTTTCATTATCTTGAAAAGTTACCTTGAACAGCAAATCTCATGATAGTAGCAAATTTGGAAGGTCTTCTTAAACCATTATTCTGTAGACTCAAATAGCAATTACACACTGTAGTTAATAACATTTTTCAGTTATACACAAAGTTCAAGTACTTGTTTGGGGCCTTGGTAAAATTAAGAAAGCCTGTTTCTAAGTAGAGGGATGTAAATTTTAGGATGGACTGAAACCAGTCAAAATTTTTTACTGATTATTGCTACTAGATCACATCACTCAAACAACGCTTGTGGTTTTTTTGTCCTGTGTCTAACCCCCCCAAAAAAAATGTCCAAGCACTCTTCATGCTCCTATTATTTTCCTGTTTCTTGTCTAGCTTTAAGAGCTCTGGTGATCTATTAGGTAAAGACTTGCTCTACCAACCCAGAGGTAGGCTGTTCAGTCCACCAGTTGCTCCACAGAAGGAAGATGGACTATCTCCTCCGATGTGAGATCCAGCCTCTGAAAGCCCCTTGGAAAGTCAGTTATGAGCAGGTTCCAATTTAGCAGCACACAACAACTTCTAGCCTTTAGGGAGTTCTGTTGGCATAATCCTCATCTATAGTGAGTTACTTTTGCTAAGTAAGCTGTCCATCCCTGACAGTTGACTCCATCAGTGGCTCCAGAGGGAAAAAAATGAACAACTTCCTCCCACTAGCCTTGACAGTTTTAGAAATCCAATGGCGTGTCACTGTGAGTCAGAAATGACTTAATGACAGGGAGTTTGAGTTTTGTCTAGTTTTAGAATGAACCTTTGTCATATAGTGTGTTAGGCATCAGGCTACTATCAGAAAGTCAGCAACTGGAATCCACCAGCAGATCCTGGGGAGAAAATGGCCCATGTCCTCCCATTAAGATTTGTTATGTGTTGTTGTAGACCATCAAGTGGGAACCAACTCCTAGTTTACTTTCCAACTGGTTTTTAGAGACAATAAATCAAGTAGGAAGAGATGGTCCATCTTTCTCCCATGGAACATCTAGTGTATTCCATCCACATGCCTTTGGATGGGTAGCACAATTTCTTATCCACTAGGCTACCAGAGCTCCTTCATTAAGATTTACAGTCTCAGATCCAGTAGAGGGTCACTATGAGTCAGAACTGGCTCAACAGCCATGACTTTGGGGTTTTTGGTTATCTAGCTATAAAAAGTGTGAAGACAGCCATATCAGACCTCTATTAACTCTACACGGGGGAGCTGTTTCCAACAATAATATCCACAATACAAAATTTGTTCTTATAAGGTTAGTGGCAGTCTTTCATGCTTCTGCGCCTACTTCTCATTGCCACACCAGTCTTAGCACTCTACTGGGTTCAAAATCCATTGCAGTGACTATACAGACTTTACATATCTTTATTCACAGTTGTGGCATTTATTAGGAAATTTGTTATTGTTGTTAGGTGATAACAAGTTAAGTGTGACTCATGGCAACTCTGAACAACAAATCTGAACCCTGTCCTAACCTATGACATCTTCATCATCTCTGACACTCTCACAGTGTCAGTACCCCTCTTTGAAAGTCTTCTTCTCTCAATAATTCTCCACCTTTCAAAGAAATATCTTCTCCTAGCAACATGCCCAAAGTATGTGAGAGGGAGTTTTACGACCCTTGTCTCCAAGAAGCACTGTTTGCACCTTTTCCAACACACGTGTTTTTGCTTTTGGCAGTCCATGATCACTCCTCTTTTTAACACCACAAAGGCATCAATTCTTCTGTCAACTTTATTCATTGTCCAGCTCTCAGATGTATAGCAAGTATTGAAAAGACCATGGTCTGAATCATGACCATATTGATATTGTTGATTGCCTTCAAGTCAAGCATGACTCATAGCAACCCTATGAACAAAAGGCCAGAAGCACCTCTACAGCCTTCAACATTTGTCAAAGTTCATAGATTTTCCAGAGGCATGTTGTTTAGGAAGTGGATGCCACTCCTGCTTCCAAATACTGACATTAGTGCTCCTCAATAATTTGGAGAGGTCCCTGACATCAGACTTGTCCAGTGCAGTACGTCTGTGGATTGCCTAAATGCTGATACCAAGGATGTTGACTATAGATCCAAGTAAGATGAATTGTTTGTAGTTTGAATCGTTTCTCTATCTATCATGACGCTGAAGATTTTTGTCTCCTTAATGTTGAGATGTATCCATATTAGAGGCTATAGCCTTTGATCGTAAGCAAGCACTTCAAGTCCTCCTCACTTTGAGCAAGTAAGGTTGTGTTATCTGCATAATACAGGTTGCAGGATATAATTCAGGTTGGCAGCAGGATATGATTCCTCAGTCCATAGAGCTTATCAGGTGTGGTCACAGACCCTTTGACCTTTAACCCCACAGATTAGGCCAGTGTTACAGTGTCCTACAGTGTCCCCTTAGTCTTGTCAGTTATGATGTTTTCCTTTAGTCCTCCAGCAAGCTTGAGTTGAAGGCTTCTGGCTGTGGCTCCATGGGCTAGGAGTCCTAAGTTATCTCTGTCTTCAATTGATCTCTCGTTCTCTATGGAGGCTGCTGTTGACCTGAAGTAGATCTGTCTGTCTGGTTCAGGAATCTCTGGTCCCTAAAAAAGTATGCTGCTTTCTCTACCTTGTTGGTATTGATATTCCCAATTCTTCTGCGAAATCTCCCTAATTTAATCATGAGACTAACCTTGTAGATAGACTAACACACTCTGTTTATACAATCCTGCCCATCCATGTGACAAGGTCAATGGCTCAGAAAGCCATTGAACTATAAACTCTTGGCACTAGCTTTGGAGTAGATTATTGTAGATCCCTGAAATTCATGCACTGCGCGATGGGAGTGTTTAAGGACATGGTTGCACCTTAGCCAAAACTTCTCTGTTCTTTTTCCCACGTGTGGGGGGAAGAAATTGTGCACCAATGAATGAATTTTTTTAAGAGAAAAACGAACTGGGGGTGGGGGTAGGGAGGAAAATGTGCAAAAATAAGTGACTAGAAATCCAAGTTTACTGTAAACTTTAGTTAAAATCACAATTATTTATAAGGGAAAAAAAATATCTAGACCACTGACTTACTTTCTGGACTTCATGGGTTTTAGTGGGTATTTTTGGTTACTTTGAGGGGTGAGGAAGAAGAAATTGGCATAGATTAGACCTTTAGGAAAAGTTTGGAATTGATGTTCTAATTGTTCTTCCATGTGCTAATGTAATCACATAAGAATGCAGCAACATAGGCTAGTACTTTGTAAACAGTGATCATAACATTCCTTTTAATGTGTATTTGTCAGAGTTTAAGTGGCATAGCAGAACCTGTAGAAGATATATATTAAGAGATTTATTGCAAGAAATTGGCATTCTTGATAATAGGAGCTGGCTAAGCAAGTATAATATTTGTTCCCTCCCCTTGGATATAGTTTCTGTAGCTCAGCTTTCAAACAGACACACAAGAGTATAAGGTACAATGACAATCCAAAAGAGGAAAGTGTCATCTAGCCATTATCCTGATTGACCACTGCTATTGACTAATAGGGGACTATAGGAAAAGAGTAGAACTGCCTCATGACATTTCCAAGGCTGTATACAAATCTTCAGGGAGCTCTGTGAACCCAAAGGCATGCAGTTCAAATCCACCATCTGCTCAGCAGGACAAAGATAGACAATTTCTGGGCAATCTCCTCCTGTGTGCAGAAAATTACCTCTGGCGTTTTCTGAAACCCATGAGGTCTAGAAGGTTATTTAGTGACTTAGATTTTGGGGGGGGGGGGGGACAGAATAGAAAGTGCTGATAATTACCTTTGAAAATCCACTGAAGAGTCAACTATGAGTTGATTCTGATGTAAACATATACATCTTTAGGGAAGCGCACTCCTGTATCTCTCCCTGATGGTTTGAACCACCAGCCTTCTAGTTAGCAGCCAAGCACTGTATCCTCTGGATTCCTTCATTTAATCATTACTCATTTCAGTATGGTCACCAAGTTGAGCTAAGTTTTTATGATGCATCAATATTGCTTGAGTTTCCCTATTGCTGATACTAACACAGCAGCCAGACCTTAGGATTTCTGGAGACAAAGCATGTTCTTTCCCTATTAAATTAGCATTACCTGTCACTAGAAGGAACCATGTAACAATAAAGAGAACAGAATCAATGGAACTAAAAGTTGATTATTTTTTTTTCTAAAAGAAAATCCTCAGCTCTTTAGCTAGATTGACAAACTAACACATAATGTCATCTTGCCATGTGAAAAGGAGACCTGGTGGCAAAGTATTTATCAGGCTGTTAACTGAAAGGCCTGAAGTTTTAAACCACCAGCTACTAAGAAGGAGAAAGATGATTCGTTTCATTCCTTGAAAATGTGATAGAGGGTCCCTGTGAATGGGAACTGACTAAACATCATAGGTGTCTCCCGTGAATGTAGAAAACAATACGCTAGGTTCTCTCTCTCCTGTCTGTTACTCTTTCTCTCTCCCTTTCTGTATCTCTTGCTCTCTTTCTTTCTCTTTCTCTCTCTCTAGGTGAGTCTGAACTGACTCAGCTGGCCCTCCAGCAAGTTTTCAAAGGCTGTAAATTGTACAGAAGGCAATTGCTAATCTTTCTCCTGCAAAGCAGCTGGTGGATTCAAACTACATGCCTTTGTGTTGGCTGTACAACTCCTTACCCACTAGGCCACCATAGCTCCGTACACTAGCGTTTCAGGCTATTACAAAAACTTCTTCCCAGATCTCTCCTAGAATGACAAAGGTAAAAACCTGAATGCTTGCACTGAAGGTCTGTAAATGAGGAGAAATAATGTTGATATACATGTTGCAAGCTCCCTCACTTTTCATGCTTTTCCCCTTCTCTTAGTCGCTAAGATATTC